GTTTATAGTGTTGATTTAAAGCACATGCGTCAAACTAGTTCCAGAAAGGGCCGTGTGGCTGCTGGTTATCTTTCCACCCAAGCAGTAGCACACCAGACTCCATTCATCCCATCAAGACATCAGGTTAAGACTAGACTCACCTTGATGAGATAAATGGAGTCTGGTGTGCTACTGCTTGGGTGGAAAGAAAACCAGCAGCCACACGGCCCTTTCTGGAACTAGTTTGACGCATGTGCTTTAAATCAAGACTATAAACACATTTGTTTAGGATTGCCTTCGACTGCTCTAGTTAAACAGTCAAACTGAAACATCATTAGTTCAACTTTTTTATTTTCTTTAGTCCAACTGCTTTTAATGTTCTTTCTTGTTTCTGCATTTTTTGTATTATTTATTTTTTCTTCTACTTGCTTTGATTCTGTTTTATTTTCCTATATTTTAATCATGTAAAGCACTTTGCATTGTCTTTGCACTGAATTGTGCTATACAAATAAATTTGCCTTGCCTTGCCTTGCCTTGCTTTGCCTTGCTTACCAATGAGCCTACATTGTTATTCAAAGCATCTAAAAATATTTTAAAATGCACTTTTCTGAAATAAAAGGAGCCTAGGTGGTCATACCTCTCAAAAATGGAAGGCCAATACTTATTAGAATAGATGCTGTGTCAATTAACAAATGCTGTAATGAGTGAATGGATTGTTTTTCAGTGAGTATATTCCGTTTTTGTTAGAAGAGATAACAGTTTACCTTTACTTTCCCTTTTCTCATTTCAGGAAAAATACACAATATCATTTTAAATAACCAGGGAAAAGGGAAATCAGTGGAGGATGTTTGTGAGCACAAAGTTTCTGAGGTAGTAAAATGTGTTCTGCTAACATGGTTTTGGTTATTTTATAACAAAGTTGCTTTGTTTAAAACAAAAACAACTGTTTTTACAGCAATTATTTTTCTGTGAAAATCTATTTACTCTTTTCTTTTACTTTCTGAGCCAAATGAATAACTATGTATTGAATTCCTTTTCATATTATTACCTTCATGGTGCTAGCTTTAAGGGACTTTTTAACTCTAAAGGCTAAACAGGTTTACTGTTTGTGTAGTGTGGCAGTATTCTTGGAAGAGAGCTTTGACAGAGACATTACTGCAGTGCATTTGAATCCTACAGTCTTGCTACTCCTTACTGGAAAAACTGGTTTTAAAAGTCTTCAGCTTTTTAATTCTCGCTCAGTCTAGAAACTCTGGTTTCTAGACTGAGCGAGACTTCCCAGGTGTTTATTTGGCAACACTTGAATAACTTATTCTCTTTACTTTCCGCATTTCTGAATTTAAGAACTAAAAATAAATGTATTTCTCAGGCCATTTTGACTTAAAATTCCCACCTGCTGTCAAAACTCACCGAATATAAACACCACAGTGCTGATGAGAGGGAGGAGGCTCATAGCCGTTCCCTGGCTGGCCTGTAACATGCTCCCCAGCTCAGTGTGGGAGCTATAGGCGGGAGTTGTAATGTTTATAGCCGGACAAGGTGTGGTGTGGGAGATCATGGTTAGAGTCAGAGAGGACAGAAACATCAGCATGCTTGAAGTGTAAAGCAGGGCTTTACGTCCTGCCTTGTCCATCAGACTGGCTGCCACAGCAACAGAGAGGAGACGGACCGCACCCACAATGGCGGCGTCGTACCTCAAAGAGAGAAAGACAGGAAGCTGCTTTGAGTCGACATAACCCAAGCAAGTCATACAATTCAACAAAAGATCGGAGGAGCGATTCGCTTTTGTAGGATGTCCAACCTGGCCTCCAGTGTGACGTTGCTCTTGGCAAATATGGGCTCCAGGTATACAAGAATTGGCGTGATTCCGGTCATTTGTTGCAGGAAACGCATCACAACTGAGATCAGGATTGGCTTGTAATAGATGGGCGAGGCCAGTTGAGCCCAGGTGATTTTAACCTGTGTATTAATGCTGTGCTGGAGCAACAAAACAAAGCAAATATTCAATTATTCACAATGAAAATATTGAATTTTCGCTGATGTATTAAAAAACAACACAATTTTCATGTTCTTCTGCTCTACCTGTATGGCACTGATCTCTATGTTAGTGTTGTAGTTGCTGCCTCTCAGCCAGCGGAGAACTTTTTCTGCTTTCTGCACTTGGCCAAGGGAGAGTAGTCTCCTGGGGGAGGAGGGCATGAACGCCAGCAGAACAACCATAATCACTGCTGGCACGGACCCTGCCACCGCCAGCCAGCGCCATGGGACCACCAGACCTATACATCATAGGGTAACACAAACAAGGCATGCGGTAGAACAAAAGCACATAGCTGACATGCCCTCTTGACATGTCAAGGATATCTCTCTGTGACTCAGCAAAGAGAGAACAAAAATGCAGGTTGCCTGACCTGCTTCACATGTGAAACATGCTACTCTTTTTAGCATCATCCCTTTACTGCTCTTTAGCAAAAATCCCTTAGTGTGTTAATGCGGGTAAAATATATATTACCAAGGGCATAGAGTGTCAGGGTCCCAAACACAGCTGTGATCTGGGGGCAGGAGCCCAGAGCCCCTCTCACTTTTTTGTGGGAAATCTCGGAGATATAAACCTGTGGAATAAGCAGACAAAAAAAATCTTATATAGTTATAGATATAGAAAATGTTTTTGTTTAAAAAAAAATGGTTTGTAGGTAAAAGTTATGGCGAAGTGTGGTTGACTTCTTAGGATGCTCTGCACCTTGGTTTGGATTAACTGGGTATAAGACTGAGCATTATGTGTCACTGGTGGAAGGAAGAACCGTGTCTCTCTACTGGATCTGTGACTCAAAAGGAAACCAAAGAGAAGGAATGGATCAAAATACATAACTCACAGGAATTGATGCAGCAGTCATCCCGCCTGCAACACCAGTAAGGAACCGGCCTGTGTGGAGCATCCACAGGTTTACAGCTCCTCCCATCAGCATGTACCTGAAAGACACGTGTTAGGTACTATGTTACCAAACCTTTAACTTTTTAATCTGATGCAGACATTAAAACATCTATCCCTTTTAAGGTTTGAAATATTCCATTTTGTGTAAGTCATAAGAGTATCGCTAGCAGGCTGAAACGCAGTCAGGAGAAGTAGAAACATTTCAAAATTTAATTGTAATTGTCAGATTTAGGAAGAATAAGAATGTATGATCAGCAAACGAATGACTGAGCATTGAGATTGTTTCATTTCTTAGTATTTCTTTTCTGACCTATTGTTTGTTTTTGGGCTGACACAGAGAAATACCCACCCTGATGCTACTGACTGGATGAAAATCCAGTTTCACTATTATATTAAAACCATATCATTTAACTTTCAAGTTTAAAAAGTCTTTAAATTTTTTTCTTAGGTCTTTGATTTTCATTCTGCAAATCTATTCGTTATATCCACACATATAACCTTAGAACTAAACAAGCAAAACAATTTTTTTTTCATATACATTTAAATGTATGCAAAATCCGACAATTCTTTTGTATCTCTGCTTCTTTCTGTAAGTCTCCTTCTGTCTCTTCAAACCACAGAACCACACTGAGTCTGGTTCTGCTGGAGGTTTCTTTCTGTCAAAAGGGAGTTTTCCTCTCCACTGTCGCTAAAAGCATGCTTAGGATTGCCTTCAAGTCATGTAAAACTGTAACTAGAGCGTGTAACAAAAGTAATTTCCCTCTGGGATTATTAAAGTATTTCTGATTCTGATTCTGATTCTGAAGTCAAGGAGTCGATGCAATCAGCTGACTTTCTTTAGATAGAAAACGTTAAATCAGTCTGACTGTATGATCTGGTTGAATTGTCTCTGTAAAGTGCCTTGAGATGACATGTGTTGTGAATTGGCACTATATAAATGAACTGAAATGAAATCTTATATAGGATTTTATAATTGTTGTGTTTTGTTTATTTAAAAAGGGAAAGAGTGCACTGATAAAAATTATATGATCATTTGTATTAATATAATTTCATTAAATGTAAATATAAGGCATGGCTGAACCTAGCAAGAAACTGCTTTGGAATAAGAAGAGTTTAATTAAAATGAATAATTTTCTACATGCGATTTTTCAATTAAATTTAAGATCTTATATAAATAGAGATCTGTTTAGTTTTTCACATTTATAAAGCCATTGCATTGTTTCATTTTCTTTAATTAGATGGAAAATAATTTCCAAATTTAAGTATTAAGTTTAATCTCAGTGAGAATCATGCATTGTCTCCTAACATAAACATATAAGGGCTACGGTTTGCACCATGACATAACGTTGATATTAATAAGGTTTTTTTTTTTTTAAGTATTTTTGATATGTTCAGCTTTAAAAAAATCTGCTAAGTCAGGACGTAACATTTGCCATAACATATCTGTCAACCTCCATTTAACTTCATCTTGTTGGTTAAATTATGATCGTATCCACTGCATACATTGTAATATCACACTGTCCACATACAGCGAAAAAGATAATAAATTAGATGTAAAATTTCTAGTTTCAACTGCTTGTGAACAAAATACGGTACATGAATCATTGTAACAGTGAAAGAAAGTCTGTAGGCTGTTTGAGCAAAGGAGTTTGTCTATCAGGATTACTGTCAAATTCCTTCAGTATATGAACAACAACAATTAATTAGGGGAAAAGTCCTTAGCAGTGCAATGTTAAGAGTCTGTGGAAAGTTGGGAATAACTGAGGACCTTGTTTTTTCCCTCATGATTATGTCTGTTCCATAAAATTCTGCAACCCCTAAAAATAAATCAGAAAACGTTTGCAGATCTGCATTTCTGGGAATGCACTTTTTGTTTTAGAATTTTCATTTTCAAATCAGAATTATTTATACATTTATGATATTCATCCACTTATGTAAGCATTGATTTAGGGTTGGGTGATGTAAACATTTGGTCAAAAGGTTTATTTTTTCCTGTTTAATCTAAAACGATGGTTTATGGTGAGACCCACCCAGCAGTGGAGGGCACCGCCGACATCATGATGCTCATCTTCCTTCCAATCAGGTCATTGAGAAACATAGCCCCGAGGCCCCCAGCTGCTGCACCCAGAGAGTAGATGGACCCGAACCAGGCAGCCTGGTTGGTGTCCATCCTGAGCTGAGGGTCCGCATCAGGACCTTTAAATCTTGGGAGGACAGGGGATGAGTAGACCAGGGAGTAACCAAAGTTGAAGTTTCCCAGAACAGCAGAGAACACAGCAAGATACAGCCTGGCATTACTGATCTGTAACAACATCAGAGAGAGGAGATTAAAAACCATTAGAATGAAACATTATATGGGTTTAGGCTCATCTAAAACCACTACTGCTTTTGCCATCACCAGGTTTATTAAACTGTATTTTATTTTTTCCCATTAATCAAAGTAATGTCTATTATATTATATAAGTATAAAAAGCCAAGTCAGTCCAATGCATGTGTTTAAGCTTAGTTAGAACCGTTGAAAACATGTAAAGCTATACAAGTTACTTTTTCACATGACCTAAAAAACAACTACTGATCTGTGAAAAAACACACGCTTAATTCTGTCTGCACACACTCATTAGGAACCTGTTCAATTTAATACTACACTACAGTATCTTGCATGATATTCAGACTCCTTACTTTTAATAGTTTTTTTTTTTAGTCGAATGCACAAATTATAATGTATCTGCTAAAGCTTTTAATGTGAAAGAGAAACAGAAAGTGGTATGGAAATGTTAGAGGGTTTTCAAATTCTTTAACAAGTTACAAACTGAAAAGTGTGGTGTGCATCAACCCCTCACTTAAAACCTGGTACAAGAAAGCTGCCTAAGAAAGTAAGAAATCATATTTGCTCTGTTATAAAAACAGGTAGGAACCCACCAAGCATGTGGAAGATTGTAATCTATTCTAGATGCAGGTATCCAAACAAACATGCACAAACAAACTTGAAACCTTAATATTCAGAGATGCTCTTGATCTAAATACAGTATGTGCATGAATGTCATTCGTCACGATTTACATATCTATAAAGACTTTTCCAGCTTTTATTTGAACAAAAAATGTTCATCAACAACTGACTGAAGGGAAACTGAGCAGACAGTGTCAATATTTTTCTTTCCAGTTCGCAACTACCCAGAGGAAAATTGTACTGCTCAATGTTTGCTCTTCTAGATCATGAGACATATTTGAATTTCTTTTCTCAGCATCGATTAAATTTCAGTTTTGGCTCAAAAGTTTCTTGTGTGCCCCTCCTAAAATTCACTTGGAGAAATATGGTGAAGCGTCATAAGTTCAGATATTTTGCAAAACTTGAATTCACACATTCACACCCATATCGTAATCACAGCTGCCCTGGAGCTAACAAACAGAAGCAAATCTGCCATACACATATAGTTTAAGTCACTTGCCCAAGGACACATCAATATTGAAAGCTGGGGTTTGAACCCACAACCTTCTGGTTTAAGGGCAAATGTTCCTGTCAAAAAACCGAGTAATAGCGAGACAAAAAGGTGGATATGGAAATTGAGAGAGTGTCTCCACTTTGTTGAACAAAATTCATCCAAAAATGGATATATCTCTTTACAGCCAGGAATTAATGAAAATATGACACACAAATTATTCAAATCTTCTTTTGCCTTATAATCCTTTGTTGTGGTCATGCCAAAATATTTTATTTCTTCTTCCAGTGGGATTGCATTTAAGGTGCTTTACTGATAATCGTGTATTCTTTTAAGTCTTCCCCCAAAATAAGTATGAAAATTTAAAGTAACACCATCTTGACCAGGTGATTTGCCTATTGACATTTGTTTTACAGCAACATCTAACTCTTCTATTTGCATAACAGTGTTTAATGTTTTCCAAAAAGGATATTGAAGCTGTGATGAGACAAGATTTAGGTCATAGAGAAAGATCTCTGATTTTTTTGCTCGGGATCACAAGGAAACACAAAAGATGAGGAAGACTGAGAATTATATTTGAGCCTGATGAGATCTTGAAAGGAGACTAAACCAAGTTCTAGTACATTTTAATGTTCCAAAAGAAAAGCTGAGACACAGGAGAAATAAACCTAATTCTCATTTTGGTGCCACACATTAAACATCAGAATTCAGAATATGGAACATGTTTCAAAGTAATCTAACTCAGAAGTTGATGGGTTAATTGTGTATTTGGAGCCTGACATTTCTGCAACGGTCAAACAAGAGTTATAGAATTTATACAGAAAATGAGGAAGTTTGAATCAGTTAGAGATTAAATTTAACGAGATCTAAACAGACAACTTGTTTCCCACCTGTGAGTCTGATGATGCAGTTCTTCTCTTGAGCAGCGGCGTATTCTCTTCCATGTTTCTCTGGACTGCTGTGAAGCACCTCAACAACTATAAAGGTAACAGTTGGATTTCTGTGGTCTGTTTCAGGATTTGTAACCTTAACTTCCTGTGAGGGAGATTAACTATTGCATTACTTTATAAAACTATGCAGAACTTCCAAGGAAGCACAGAAAATCCCTCTAGTGCATCTGAAACCCAATGACAGTCCATCCTCCAAGAAAAGACTAAAGTGCCAAATAACAAAAAATCATATCTACCTCCTCCAAAGCTTTGGATCGTTTCTTTGTGGTCAGAGAGCAGGTCATGCATTTCCAAAATGACTCTAACAAACCATATCAGACAGTGAGAGACCACAACTATTCAAAACAAAACTGAAAGTTATATTCCAGTTTGTAACAGTGAACTTAAAGAGTGCCAGCATCAACTTCTGCTTTTCAAATGCAAATAAGGCCTCCTCAGTACACGCAGGTCATAACCGGGAAGCAGAGGGGTTGGATCAACTATCCTAGATTGGGCCATTCAGAAAGAAAGCAGAAGAAGATGAGACCATCCTCCCTAAACTCAATGAGAGGGAACAAGGAAAGTACATGCTGTTTCCACCTCAGCCCAAATCTCATCAGGGTTATAACCACAATAGAGAACTGACCCTGAGAGCTTTGCACAATTCTTTTCAAATCTTTTTACAATGTTGCCAGGATGGAACTCCCAAACTTGGAGATTAGAGGGACAGGTTATTAGAGGCTGCGGTGTTTTGCACCCTTATCAGCATTTTTTTAATTGTAGTAATAAAAAATCTAAACTCAGTCAGCCTGAATAAAGAGATGCAACAGTGATTTTTAATTTTTTTATGTTTTGCCACAGTTTGTCAGCTGGCTTCAGATCTATTCTTTCTTCCAAAACATAAATGTGATGCACCATTTTTTCTCTTGGTGTATGGTTGAGCTCTGAACTCTGCTAGAAGATAAAGACTTAGGATGTGTCCGAATGTCCGCCCTAATCGCAACGCCATTTTAGATGAATGTCCTATGAATATATGAATGTCAAGTGGATGAATAAGTAGTGGACTCAAAATTTCCCACAATGCACCTTAAAAAGTAGTGATCATCTTCGGTCCCTAGATGAGCAGATATATCCCGGAATGCTTTGCAAGGAGAGCTCTACTCCCAAAGCATCATGGTATTTGTTTTCACAGCTGCCTGCCATCGCCATAGGCTGTGACAAATAACAAAGATGGTGCAAAAAGTAGTAGTGATTCTTTGTCTGAATGGTCAGTTAACTGAGTTCACTATAAAGTCCACTATGTAGTCACCACTCAATATAGTGATTGAGGGAATCAGGAGTTAGGGAGGATGTTTGGATACAGCCTTAGAGACTTAGACTTAGACTAACTTTATTGTCATCTTGTATACACAGAGTGTATACAAAATGAAATGTCGATGCATACAGCTTTTAAACAATGAATGAGCAGCTTACAACTGTGAAATGGACATTACCATTTAAAAAGTTCAGCAGTGATCAGAATTTAAATAGTGTAGGAGAAAAGGAAAACCAGTTTAAAGACATGGTGCAGAAGGCATTTATATGGAAAGGTTTAGTGCAGTGCAAAAATCAAAAATCAGCCACATTGGTTGTGCAAATATGATGTTTTCAAGTGTGATGCAGAGACTTGATTAGAGTTTCAACAGTTCAAAAGTCTTATGGCAGCGGGGAAGAAGCTGTTGCAGAACCTGCTGGTCCTGTATCGAATGCTTCGAAGCCTCTTCCCAGAGGGCAACAGGGAGAACAGTTCATGGTGGGGGTGTGAGGGGTCATTTATGGCTCGGGACACGCAGCGCTGGGATGAAACGTCTTTGTAGAGAGAAAAGGAGCCCTGATGATCCTCCACACCAGTGAGACAGCTGGTCAGAACGCTCTCTATGGTGCTTCTGTAGAAGGTGGTGAGGATAGTTGGGGCAGGTGGGCTCTCCTCATCCCATGCAGGAAGTACAAGCCCTTTTGACCAGTGAGGTGGTGTTTACAGTCCAGGTCAAGTTGTCTATGATGTGCACCTTTAGCAGTGGAGTGTGGTGAGGCCGATTCTTCCTGAATTTGACGATGAACTCCTTTGTTTTCTCCAAGTTCAGGATCAGGCTGTTATCTCTGCATCAGCCCACCAGCTGCTCCGCCTCCTCTCTGTAATCCTGGCCGTTGTCGTCTCTGATGAGGCCCACAACCTTGGGGTCATCTGCAAACTTCATGATGTGAGTGGTGGTAAACCTTGAGGTGCAGTCATGTGTCATCAGAGTTAACAGCAGGAGGCTGTTAACAGCCCTGTGGGGAGCCTCTGTTTAGGGTGATGACATCAGAGGTGTTCTGTCCGACCCGGACTGACTGAGGTCTGTTTGTGAGGAAGTCTAGCAGCCAATTGCAGAGGGGTGGATTGAAGCCCAGCTGTTCCAGTTTGCCCATCAGATGCTGTGGGATGATGGTGTTGAAAGTTGAACTGAAGTGCGAGAACAGCATCCGCACGTGGGTGTTCTTCTCCTCCAGGTGTGCAAGGCTCAGGTGAACAGATAGCGTCCCCAGTGGAGCGGTTTCGTCGGTAGGCAAACTGTGACCCAGTCTCAAGTCTTCTGCAGCCTCAATAAGGCTTTATTTTTGGGTTTAAGGGAAACATTGATAGATTTAAAAACAGTCTTGTTTTCAACTCTGTCAATTTCCCTGTATGTGCTGAAGAAAGACAACCCCACAGCATGATGCTGCCACCACCATGTTTCACAGGTTATGAGTGTGTGCGTTGTTTTTTTTTTTTCTCTATCAAAACATGTATGGCTTTCCTGAAAAAGGAAAAGTAATCTTAATTTCTCAAAGGTTTATTTTCATCCAAACACAGAATTTTGATTACTTTTGGAATACTGATTTGACTGACTCTTCATCCTGCATCACGCATGACTCATTTTACTGAGGGTAGCACACTTTTTAGGTCCAGCTAAATATTTTCTGGGGTTTTTATTAGTTGTTGAAGTTTAACTAAGGTGCATTTGATAGAGAATATTCACATCATTTTAATCAGTCTCTTGGTAGGAGGTTACTAATTAACATATATGCATTTTGTAATCCAAAAAAACCCCAAAATGAAGTCTGTTATTCTGATGCATGTAATGGTCTATTTATAGGTTTACTGGAGTTTTTAGCAAAAAGGAATCAAACACAAGGGCCCGTCATAGTCATGTAATTACTCACATATTACATAGTCATGTAATATGGGAGTTTACTGTTTTGGGAGTTTGTAATCATTTTTTTTTTCATGATGATAAGATTCAAACACCTAAAACAGTGTAAAAGAGTAAAATGGGTTAAATTTTAAAAACCACAAAGGTATAACATGCAATAGGTGATGAATATAGGGGTAAATTATCAATACATCATCAAATCCAGGCACTCTTTTTGGAAAGATAGTAAGGTATTTACAAACAAAAATGGAAAATTAGAGCTTGTTAACTGTTCTTCAATTGTTTAATCTTAAATTTAGAATAGATATAAACTGTATTTATTGTAATCCAGCTAAAAAAAAATCCCAATTTAAGGTGAGCTAGTATTGCTAAAACAATAAAATAAAAAATAAAAAAATCCCAGACTGTGTCATACAATCTTTTCAAACATGACAACATATGTCATATTTCCTAAATTTTCTACATTAGGTAATATAAACTGCCAAGTGGTCGATTTCCTTTTTGTTCCCCTTTTGTGAGGCACCGATATGATTGTGTCATACATTGTTCCTCAAGATGTTCATAAGATGTCATTTTCTAACCACTGTCATTATTTTCTACCACATGTAGCCTACTATATAATCAATTTAAATCATTTTCACTAAGTGTTTTTGATGTAAAAAAATAACAGCCCTCTTTTTCTTATTGCTGAAGATGGGATTTACATAAACAGCCTGATCAAATGGTAATCTTAAATCTTAAAAAATAAGATTGTATAGAAAAAAATGGTTAAGATATCAACACATTCTGGAGAGAAAATTAACTATTTAAACATTAAACCCCCATTATTTTTCTGTTTAATATGGGGGGGAATCAGAATTCTGAGAAAAAAAGTCAGTAATCTGAGAAAAAAGTAAGAATCCTGAGATTAAAGTCAAAATTCTGAGAAAAAAAGTCAGAAATCCGAGAAAAAATTCTGAATTCTTAGATTAAAGTCAGAATTCTGATTTAAAAAAAAGTCAGAAATCTGAGAAAAAAGACAGAATTCTGAGATTAAAGTCAGAATTCTCAGAAAAAAGTCAGTAATCTGAGAAAAAAGTCCGAATTCTGAGACTAAAGTAAAAATTCTGAGGAAAAAAAGTCAGGAATCCGAGAAAAAAAATCAGAATTCTTAGATTAAAGTCAGAATTCTGAGATTAAAGTAAGAATTCTGAGAAAAAAAAATCAGAAATCTGAGAAAAAAGTCGGAATTCTGAGATAAAGGTCAGAATGCTGAGATTATAGTCAGAAGTCTGACTTTTTTCCCATATTAAACTGAAATAAATGTAAGAAATCAGTTAATTTTTTTTTTCAGAGGCCCTAATCCTCTTCTGTAATTGGTCCTTCATATAACGTGTAAGAAAAAATAAAAACTTTTGTATTGGTAGATGTAGGGAAACCGCTTCATATTTTATAAAAATACATTTCCCAGCATGCAACGCAAAAAAACATTTATTTTTGGCCCTCCGCGCGATCCTTACAAAGGGTCACGAGTCACAGGAGTGATCATGAGAAGACGGAAAAGTGGCAGCTAGCCCCGACAGGAGCTGCAGTTAGTCAGAAGAAACAAAGAAAAACATCTTTTTAGATTCAAACTGAGAAGTTTCGAGAATACAACATGGCTAACATCACCAAGAAAGTGTCCTGGTCCAGCCGGTGCGACGAGTTCGGGGCGGTCGGGGAGGAGACCCCGCTGCTGAACGGCTCAGACCAAGCCAGACCCCTCAGACAGGTACAGCTGCTCCCACTGAGCTAGATCAGGTGCAGAGTCATGTGTTAAAAAGCACTTTAAGGTTCTGCTGGATCATCTTTGACCTGCTGCATGGGGAATCTGACTGTATGCCTGCTGGAAAGTGAATGCATAAAGATAATTGAATTTTCTGTTATGGCATTGGTTGCATTTTGGTCCAAGAATAACCAACAACAATCAGAATGAAGCTAATTAAGTAACATTTTGACTTTGATTTAGACATCAATAAAATGATCATACTATAAGATTTAAAAATGTGTCCCTAGCAAAATTATCAAAGAGAGGAAATAGTTATGCGCAGAAAAAAATAATTAAATTCTGGCTTTTATTTGGTCTGATGTATTCAGAGAGGTACAGTAATGTTAATACACTTTAAAACCACAGAAAACATGTTAAAAACATTTATAGTTTAATCACATATGTAAATGATATCAGAGAATATTTTATGAACTGATGATAATTAAAGAAATGTTATACCCTGGCCTTCAGAATAATGAGAACTGAGGAGGTCTTATAAAAGGCTGGGTGCTCAGAGAGTGCTGATGGAAAGTTAAGTGGAGGGAGAAAGTATTCGGAGGAGGAGTGGTGGTCAGCTTATTGCCAGCAGGACTTTGATCCTGACCACATAAGTAAAAGTACAGATACCTGGCAAAGTTTAACCCTATAGAGACTCAGGAAAGGTCAGGACAGTAGAACCACCATTGCTGATGACCTTCAGGTTGCTTTCAATGCAACTTCAGCTTCTTTAACATTTGAGCAACAAATGCATATTGAATAATTTTTAGAAGGATGACGTTTCCTCTGATTAAAATTCCCTTTTTGCACATTTTCTGCAACATATTTTCCTTCCACTCAAAATTCTATGAGCATGCATGGTTATGTCCTTGTGCACATCCAGCTTCTTCATTGTTGGAGGGTTCAGTAACTGTTTGCTTTTATCACTTTGTTTAATGAATATGTATAATACATGGTTTTAAATTTTCAGAATTGAGATACTGAAATAGGTCCCACCTTTTCATTAAATTCCAAGTCACTAAAATACACCTATATGTTGTCACATCAGTCTTCCAACTCCCACACAAAGCCCTCCATCTTTCTTTTACTGTATGTGGTGTGTGTAGATGTCAAGTGGAAGCACTGTATTTCAGATAGGCAGACTCAGCACGGTGGATTTGGAAGAGGAGATAATCGCCGAGGAGGTAAAGTCTGAGATCCGGTCGCCATTACTTTTTCCTTTCTTGTGTCTGTAGCTCTCATCATTCAGGTCCTGGCTTCACCATTACACTTTCAGATTAAACTGATTCAGCCTCGGATAAAGAAAGGATGTCATTTTGAAAAATTCTCGTTTGTCTCGGCTGCCTTCCTCTGGATCGGTTCGGACGCTAATCTGGAACAGCTGACACAGAGGCGGCCACCAGGGACGGATGAGTCATCCAGTGTGCTTGAAGGGCACGTGTCTGTTGGTTTCCACTGTCGAGCTTTGCAAATAATGAATTAATGCGAAGCATGCGTCTCCTAATGTGACCATCCACAGGTCTCGTGCTGAAAAAGCAGGAAATAATCCCAAATTTAAATCAAATTCTTGAACATAAAGCTTTCGAATTGAAGCAGTGCAGCTGGCAAGGCCTCCATTTGTAAAGTCAATTAAACTCACCTTTGATTAAGGTTTGCTGTTGCCTGTATTGTTAAAATCCTTCAGAAATCACATCAGAAGGCCAGTCTTTTACATCCAGTTGTGTTTATTTTTGTGTCTTAACATATAAAAGGTACTTTAAGGGTAGGGGTCTAATGCATGTGACTCTTTAGACCCTCAAAAATGGCTCTTTATTGCTTTGACTAAAAATCATGAAGACTCCACTAGTGTTTTTTAATAACCGATATACCAACAAATTAATGTTTGAGCATTTTCTCTATTCACTATTTGCATTGAATTTTCCCCAATATTGACTCTAGTTATAACAGAAATAACTATATATATATATATATATATATATATATATAGATTTTTTTAAGTGGAAAACTCTTTTTTTAATATAACTTTTAGAAATATCAGCAACCTGCTGTAGATATTTGTTTAAAAGTCCATAGTTATCTTTTTCTTTTAAAGTTCATAAAATGTTTGCAGCTTGAATTGCATTTGTTTTGCTGGACTGAAAATGTTTGCTTTAACTTACATTATAAATTGTCACTAATTATCACGGGGATGTATTTGTTTGTCTTGAAGTAGAAATTGTTTTTTAGATATTTTTTAAAACATAATTTACCAAAAAATATCAGCACTCCATTGAAAATGTATTTACTCTCTTTTCTTAAGTTCTCTCCTTTATTTTAGGACCTAAAATTTGAAATGGCGCGTTACTCATCTAAACAGGACAAATCTGCTAGATTGATATTTAATTAATACAAGTTATGTTTTTCTTAAAAAAAAAAAAAAAAAAAAAGTCATGTAATGTTTGTGGCGCTTAATGAGTTTTACGAGCTGGACTGAAGACAAAAATGTCTCTTCGGATTGTAACGGTTGCAGAGCACTCATTTAGAGCGTACTGATAATACAGCAACAGTGAAGGTGATGGATGTGAGGCAGACTTCACATAATATTTCCTCTGGAACTATTCTAATATTTGTATTCATTACATTAAAATGATAACTGCTAAAGTGCTTTATCAGTGGGAGGACTTAAAATCACTTCTCACTGGATTGTAATTCGCCCGCAAATAAGGTTTTAAAAGTGTTGCTTATTTAGCCTTAGCGTTATCTTTTGAAAGTGATGCTCTCTCTCTCCCCGTTTAGCAGCCTGAATGGACCACAGCCATGCTTTCTTTAGCTTAAGTCAAAGTTTTTTGGCTGAAATTCATTTTACATATTAAAGAATTATATTTTTTTTTCCTCTGTGAAGAATTTATCCTTGGATTGGTTGATTCTAAATTAGGATGCGTTCAATGTTTTGCTTTTTTTTTGCTTCAGTTTTTGTCTTAGAGTAAAACTCTTTTTCTTGTCATTCTTAATGAGTTTTTATTTGGATTTTCTCCCGTACTTATCTAGCCGATGGACTCAACCTCTAGCTAAAAGTTCGAACACTGTGATCGCTCAAAATTTTGTTGAATCTTGTTCATGTCATGATGTCATCGACCAAAATAAAAGCACCCTATAGAATTAAAAGCCATCCTCTGGGCATTTTACCATTGTTAGTTTTTTTACAAATTTTATTTAAACTTGAACAATACATTGTTTGTATTGTTTAATTACATTGATGGGTTTATGTGTGTAACCACACACTAACAAGGAGTTAACTGATTCCAATAAGTCACAGGTCTCGTTAATAAAGACTTCCATTAAAAAGCGTTCAGTAGGGGACGGGCTGAGATAAATTCATTCTTTATTCATTCTTAGATGCTGCTCAGTTTTCTCTGCCTGAATGTGACTCCAAGCATGTGATTTGCTTCCCTTTGAATGTAAAGTTATGTTTTTCTTTGCCGTCTCTGTGAATGAAACCTTTAACCCGTCGTTGCAGCTCGCTCGGTCCTCCGACGGGTTAAAGACGGTCTGCATGTGAACGTTAAATGTGACTTGCATGTTCGCATGCATGCAGGGGTCATTTAATAAACCAGCATTTCCTCCGCTTAGTTATCAAAACTTGCACATGGAAGTCCATGTCTGACTAAAATCTTCGGCTGCATAGCTTTTATGTTGGAAAGACTTTTCAACCCGAACCTGCTGGAGGAAATGCTGCTTTCTGCAGAATCATTGCATTCATCATCAGCTTCATAACTGATCCACTGCATCTATTAAATAGTGACTTCTAATGTAGAACTGTGTCTCTTGTCTCCCTGCTCTCTTGAGTTTTCTCCTGTGTAGAATATTAGATGTCAGTATTTCAGCTCCTGTTTCCCTACATGCCTTCATTCGGAGGCAGGAGCTCAGCGTCTGTGTGATGATGTCTTGTTTTTCATTTCTGTTCTACAGGATTCAGCGAGCGGGCGACCCAAAGAGATTGCTCACAATGAGAAGCTGCTATCTCTTAAATTTGAGGTAAAACAAGATGCCAAAAACGTTCCCCTAGTCTGATGATTTGAACTTTATAACCTGCATGTAGATTGCTGTAAAGGCAGGGAACCTACACTGAATATCACTCTGAAGATACTATTGACCCATTGAAGCATGGTGTAGGCAGGGTCATGCTGTGGGGGTGCTTTATTCAGCAGAGATTGGAAACTGGTAAGAGTTAGTGGACGGAGCGAGGTATATAGCCGTCTTTAAAGAGAACCTGTCAGAAGCCGCAGGAGTCGTAAGACTGGGTGGAGGTTCACCTTCAGAAGAGAAACCTAGAACCAGAGCTTCAAGGGACTGGGTCATATTAAAGCATATTAATGTCTCTGGAAGTCCAGACCTAAATCTAGTCAAGATTATGTGGCAATATGTGAAACTTAAATGTTTGATGTGCTTAAACTTGATCTAATCTTAGGTAGACTCATGCCTTTATAGCATGAATTCATTAAGCACAAATAAATGCATGGAAAAGAGCTGTATATTTACAATTGCACTGTTTTACTTCAGGTTTCTCAATCCTTACCTCAGCCTTTTATTGAAAAAAAAACGAGGTTTGTAAGTGCTGTGCAACTAAACGGTGAACTGATAGTTTACTGAGGAGCAAAGGAGCAGTTTATACATGATTGTTGGATTAATTTATAGGTGAAATTTGGCTTTATATTGTTTTTTTTTTCTCTTCCAGAGCCTGGACTATGATAACATTGAAAACCAGCTGTTTCTGGAGGAGGAGCGGAGGATGAGCTTCTTGGTGAGTGCAGGATATTTCCCTCGGCTTGTTGTTTTTTTTTACTTCTCCTCTAAATGTGGTTCTCTTTCTTTGTCTCTTTCTGTTTTGTGGTCTTCAGGCTTTCCGTTGTCTGGAGATCAGTCGCTGGGTGATCTGCGGCCTGATAGGCTTCCTAACAGGACTGATCGCCTGCTTTATAGACATCGTGGTGGAGCAGCTGGCTGGAATCAAATACAAAGTCATTAAAGAGAGTATCCTAATATAATTATACTTTTTTTTTTTTGTGTCAGCATCTTTGTGGTTAAAGTTGAGTAATATTTAGGTTTTAAGCTTAAGGAAGTAGTTGAAGGAAGAAGTAAAAAAAAAAAGCTTATATTTTAATGAGTAACCTTTTTTATTTACCGCAATTTTTTTCCCCCGTTCTGCTTTAGTTTTTTATTCATGGTCTATTTTATTATAAATGTTAATTTTAAGCCCTTATTTTAGTGCTCTGAGTTCTGTCTTCCCGCTTTTATCCCTTTTACTCTGTTTAGCTGATTTAAGTTTTCCTTCATTCAGAACCTTTACAGATATTGTAAGGTTTACAGAAGCAGGTGGACTGTCCATCTCCCTCATCCTCTGGGCTGTCCTCAACTCTTCCTTTGTCATGCTGGGAGCCATCATGGTCGCTTTCTTTGAGGTATGCTGGTGAAGATTCTCAGTCATCCACATCATAGTCATTCCAAAAACGTTAAGAAAATTAAAAAACAAACCACTGGAGTTTGTTTTCCAAGTTTGAAGACGTTTTGCTTCCCATCCAGGAAGATGTTTCAATGCTAAATGTCTGGATTAGCGTTTGAGTCCCAATGTTGATAGATTAGTTTAGAGTAGTCCTGCATAACCTGCTTTAAATATTTCTATATTATTCTAGAAACCAAAATATGTGATGAAAGACAGACCTGTTCAAAGATGGCTTCTCTAATTGTTATCCTGTTTGCATTAATTCATGTCCTCCTGCAGCCCATCGCAGCTGGAAGTGGGATTCCTCAGATAAAATGTTACCTAAATGGAGTGAAGATTCCCAGGGTGGTGCGGCTAAAGGTATCATCTCCTAAAGCCTTCGCTGCGTTTTATGGGTTAAACAAACAGCAGCCTTTCGTATTAATGTTTTTTTTGTGGGGGGTCCACAGACTTTGGTGATAAAGGTGTGCGGTGTAATCTGCTCCGTGGTCGGGGGTCTGGCTGTAGGGAAGGTAAACGACTTTAAAGTGTTTTTCATTTTTTTTATATTTATAACGTGTATTATTTTGAATAATAAAGTTAAAGTGAAATAATGTGATGCGAGCATCGTTTTGCTTCATGTAAGCTGCTGGGAGAACCTTAGACTGTTAACCTGGAGGAAAAATATTGCATTGACATTACATCATGGTATAAAAAAAAAAAAAACAAGGATCATGCATGTATAACAGATGGAATATAGAGTTACACAGGAAAATTAAAAATGAATCAATCTGCTTCTGATTTTAGTAAAATAAAAAAATGATATTTATGGTTCTGAGTAAAATGCAGCAGTTGAAGGTTTCTGCATGTTCTTGATATATTAAGATGTCTCAAGCTTCTATTAGTTAAATGTTTTAAACAGTATTCAGTATTTTCAGGGATTGACATGTCTTTATTCTTTGTTTGTCACTTCTTTTATACACTAAGCTAATTGGAGCTCCTGAAACAGTTTTTTTGCTGCATGTTTAGGCTCTTAAAATCAGGTCATCCCGGTTGGGTAATCCACCACTGCCTTCATCATCTCTAGAAAGTTTATTTTTCATTATTTTTAGCTCAGAAAAAAAATCTCCCAATGTATAAGACTATTTAGCTAAAGTTGGGGAAATATTAAATTAAAAGGCTGACTTAACCAAAATTACAATGTAGTTTTTGGCAACTTTTAAAATATATAGAGCCATATAATAGAAAAATTATAGATATTTTTTTTAAAAGAAATTAATATTATTTATTTATAATAAAAAAGAAAATATTTTGTTGCATTTCATGGGGATTAATTGACATTAATTTTTAAATAATAAAATTAATATTTATTTTAGTTTTTTTTTTTTAACTGAAAACAGCTCTTGTTATATAAAGGTCTTAAGAGGTTCTAAATTCATTTTTGTACTTATTTAATTTTGAATTCTAAGCCTCTGGGCCCATCCAAGGAGATGCAGCGCTCTGTCCTCTTTTGTTTTATAATCTGTAAAGGAAAAAATCTAAAGCTTTCACCTAAAACAAATAAAATATTTGCATCGGCAAATAAAAATCTCGATTGGTGCATTTCTCTTTATTCTCCTCATAAAAACCTAAACTTAAGCAAAAATGTTGAACAAAAACCAGATAAACCTGTTAATTCTTTTCAATTAAACGTGTGTATTATGTAGATTGTGTTTTTGATGTTTTCCTCTGTACTGAGCTACCTGTTTTTAGCTGGTAAGCTGCAGCTTGTAGTGGCCGATTCAGCATTACAGTAATAAGTACCGGTAGATGAGTGTCTGTTTCCTTTCACTGCTAGAAATATTCATTAACAGTCCAGTTATCTTTGTTTTATGCATAGAAAATTGTCTCCTTGATAAGGAAATGCTGAGAAACAAAGCAATCTCTAATACATCTAATGTGCTGTTTATCTACCATCCCCACAGGAAGGGCCGATGATTCATTCTGGCGCTGTGGTAGCAGCTGGGGTCTCACAGGGCAGGAGCACTTCCCTGAAAAGAGACTTTAAGGTCAGTATCTATGGGTTTTTGCCCAGGATGCATGTCAGAGAAGTACTCTATTGAAACCAAAGCGCATACACTTCAACTTTCAGTTTACTTACTGTGATAAAGATGACGGGAATTTCTCTGTGCTTGTAGATATTTGAATATTTCCGGAGAGACACGGAAAAAAGGGACTTTGTTTCTGCTGGAGCTGCAGCTGGAGTTTCTGCTGCGTTTGGAGCTCCAGTTGGTAAAAACTACGCCTCCAACACACACACACCCAATACCTCTAAGAGCACAGTATAGAACATGTTTTTTTTCCTTATTTGCTTTTTTATTAGAGGGGCTTTATATGGAGATAAACTGGTGCCGTTAAGCTTGTTCAAAAGAAAAAAAAAAAAATCAAACCTGAAAAATGTTTTTTCAAAAGAAAAAAATATAAAGCTGCATAAAAGTTTTTGCGACAGAAAAAAACGGCTGTGAAACTCAGAAAAATTATAGTTCAACATTCAGATTATTTTTTCCACATTTGTGGATTTCTTTTCAAGCTTGCATATTTATTTATTTTTTTCGTCTTCAAACTTTTAGCCCAGTTTACATCTTGGGGGCGGGGCTTCAGAGGACGGTGGGTGTGGAATCATGACCGACAGCTTGCTATCAGTCATGATTGCTTGCTTATTCCATTCAGGGACCGTATGAACTGTACATTTCTTTAAAACATCATCAATATGCTTTGTGTATGGGATGTGATGTTTTAAAGAAATTTCTAGTTCCCACGGTCCCTGAATGTAACAGCTGGAAATCTGTTGTTCAGCTGTTCTTGGATGGCCTGACCCCATTCAAAATGGCCATAAGTTTGAAGCTTAAAGAAACATTTGTAAATCCGTTTTTTTATTTGCTAAACTTTTTTCCTGTTTTCTTCTTTTTGAACAAACTTATTTTTCTGTTTCAAACTTTATGGCCCCAGTTTTAGCGTAAATCATAGCTTTAGAATCCTGGCCTAGCTGAAGTAAAAATAACTGCGTACTTAGAAATGTGGATCGGAAAGCGGTTTGTAGCTAATGTTTAATGTCATGCCTGGTGTTGTTTGCTAATTCTGCCAGCAGGGGGCCTCTAGTCCAATCAGATTAGGGGCTCATCTGCAAAGCATTCAGTTCCTTCTTAATAAGATGTTCTTGTCACTTTGTAAACTGTTTGTTAAATTTTGGAACACGATGCATCTAATCCAGACTGGTATCGTTTCAGACTGCTTGTTTATTTTCCAGCTGTTATTTCAATGATTTCTCTGCTGATCTCCATCAGGCGGGGTACTGTTCTCTCTCGAGGAAGGAGCCTCTTTCTGGAATCAGATGTTAACCTGGAGGATTGTAAGTGACGGGGTCACTAGTGTTTGTGACCATTACTTGTGAAAGTTAACAACACATGTATTGTTCTGATTCATAGAGAATCAGGCTTCCTCACGCCTCGTTTGGTAACTTTTTGACCTTTCATCTGCAGTTTTTTGCTTCCATGATCTCGACTTTCACGCTGAACTTCTTCCTCAGTGTATATCACAATAAAACAGGAGATCTTTCCAATCCGGGTCTCATCAATTTTGGAAGCTTTGAGAGTGAGGTGAGAAACGTAATGTATACAGTATGTTTATCTACTCTACAAATATGTGATTGTAAAACATGACATTGAATCGCTGTCTTTCTACAGGCGATGGGATATAACCTCTATGAGATTCCTTTGTTTATGGCCATGGGAGCTTTAGGTAAGAATCAAGTTACATCATATTATATTTAGTCGGTGTTTGGAAGACGAGTCATTTTAAACAAAGTCCCCCAACAAAGTCCAGCCCCTCACCTAGCAAAGATTTGACACATATGAGCTAGGGTTTAGACTAACGATTATTTTGTTAATTGATTAATCTGTTGATTGTTGTTACAATGAATCGATTAATAATCGATTCATTGCTTTTTAAGATTTAAACGAGGTGAAACTAAATCTTTTTCACTTAAAGTTCTGGAAGGTGAATATTGATGGATAATTTTTTTTTTTTTATCTTGTAGGCAAAACCTTTATGTATACTTTTTTTAATTTTTGGCATAATTCCTGCTCTAATTGGGTTTCCCAGTCAGCTAAAGGCGTGTTTTAAAGTCTCCATACTCCAGTTAACAATTAATCGATTACTAAATTAGTTGAATATTATTTCAAACTGATTCCATCTAATTTGATTGTGTCACACCTAAGATGAACCTTTCGTTACATTTGACATTAAATGTTTAATTATTATTGGAATAAAATACATGCACAACTTAACAATGGCATTAAAACATGCCTTAAAATGAGCATTTTCCCTCACACCAAGCTACAGCTGAAAAGACACAGACAACTAACAGCGTGATGCTAATTTGCATTTAAAATCCCATAGGGATGCTAGTGCTTTTAGCGCTTCTTTTTTCTCTGATTCCTCCAAACTGAAACGACCATTTGGTTTCCTAGAAGTATCTTAACACTTTGTAAAAACCTGAAGTCTACAGAAGGATGTTTCTAAGATAAAACATGGATTTTATCCATGGATGTTTCTCTAAAGTAGCCTTGGTTAAACATAACTTGCCAACTATTAATGAAGGTCTGAACCAGGGTCAAATAAAGCGGCTTTGCACCATATTGCATCTGTTTGCAGCCATGTTCACTCAAATCACATTATATGAGAGTAACTTTCAAAAACTGAATTTAACATGTTCTGTAAAGCCCATAGACCTTTGCTAAATGTTTGAAATGGAGCAAAATAGGTCCCGTTTAAATGAGTTTTGGACATCAGATTTCTCCTGTCATGCAGGTCAGTCTGTTTTCCACTCTGATTAAACTTTTGACTTGGTTTTGGATCAAAAGTTGATTATAGACTTTAAATGACTTAGCCTTGAAACTGGATCTTAAATGAACATAAAGAAAGAAAGTGAGTTCTGGTGTTTGGTTATTGATTTGCAACCTTCCACGGTGGCATTTTGATCCAGTGAAATACAGTTTCCAATCACCAGCCAATTTTTTTGTACCAATTTGATAGAAATATGATTCTTTCTTCTTATTTATATTTTTTTTTTGCATTAGCCAAACATGAATTAAACACTTGTTAAAGTAAGCAGGTGCTTTGAAAGCTTAGAAAGTTCATTTTTCTCAATGAGTAAAGGAAATGCATAGTGCAGCAGGGAGGTGGAAGTGTAATTATGTGGGATTTAATTAATGTAAAGTAATATTGATTTTTAGGATGACTAAACTGCAAATGTTTTTTACTCCTTTGTTGTTCAGGTGGACTTCTAGGAGCTTTGTTTAATTTCCTCAACTACTGGCTAACCATCTTCAGGATCAGGTACAGCTTAACAAACAATCAAAGACGGATTAGAAACTAAGATCCCACCAAACGTTCAGGTTATAAATACGAAGCTGCTTTGTGTCTGTCACATGGGATGACATGTGCTTTCTGTCGATTCATTTCCAAAACAGGGCGTGGGGGAAAGACAGAGAAGTTTTGAATAGAGGACTTAAAGAGTGGCTCAGAATAGCACATCTTGTGACTGAAAGGAGTCAGAAATCACTGTGACCTATTTCCACTGAGACGCTTTCCCAGCATGAAGCTGGATGATGGAAAAATAGTTCAGCAAGCTGATTAAATATTCTTGAAGAATGTTGGATTTATTAGTTTACAATCATTTAGACCTTTATTTAAGCAGATTATATAATCTAATTAAAAGTGCAGCATTCTTTTTTGGGGTTTGATGAAGATATATGGAATATATAAACAGGTCTCTTTTATCTAATCTGACTCTGTCTCTATTATAGATTCAAACAGTAGGTTTTGTGTGAAACTTTATGCAGTTTTCAGCAGACATAACGTCCCTTTCAAAACATTCTCCCATCTATGTGTACATTTAGATAAAAAGATCATTAGAATCATTGAAACATTTTATGACTTTTTTTAATCCGCATTAAAGCTGCACAGTATATAATAGAACTCATGTTTTTTTTTTTAAAGCAACACTGCATAAAGTTTGACCCAAATGTTTGCTTGATTTGAGCTATATCAGATTATTATAATTATTTTTGTTTTTTAGGTTTTATTCAGCACTTGGCCTGTATTGATGTCCCATGCAGGTTCTTGAAAAACTCACCTTTATGACTTTAGATGGTCAGATCCTCATGTGACCTAAAGGGCCGCTTTATGGTAGTCTGTAGACTACCATAAAGCCATCAAACACCCCTGGTTACACAGTGTTGCTGCAAAACAAGCAGCTTCTTGTTTAGAGGGAAATAATTGGTTTTAGTTTTTATTTAGAAGTACCCTAAAAAAAACTCACTATCTGGAGTCTCCTTTAAAATGAAGTCTGTCCTCCATACCTATGAAATATATTTCCGTTAATAATAAATAAACTAATGAAGCAGTGAAACTTAAATTGATGAACAACATTCAGAAGATCTATGAGGGTTTTCTATGTATGCAGAGGATTAAAGTTAAAGAGGGCAGAAAATCAATAGATTTTAGTATTTCTCCAATAATCTGAACCAAAGTGGAGCTTAAAATAAATGAGAAACTGGGTCAAATTTTATTGTTCAACTGTGATGCTGGAAGAATGTTAATTTATGTTTCCCAATTATTATTAATTATAGTGTTTGGAAAATTGTGATCAGTCCCAGAACTTAAAACTCATCCATTAAAGCAGGAACTGACTTTCTGCTCCCCTTACGTAAAGATAATCTTATTGGTTCCTGTGACAGCATAGATCTTCCACTACTAAATGTAATCTTTATTTCTATAAGTTACAGTGGGAATTCGAATAATTTTTTTTACAATTTTTTATTAACCACCAGCTTCTAGACTTTTGACTCCAGGGTTTTTATTTTCATGACTTTAAATCCTCGCTTGTCCACTGTCCATCGTCGAAGGTCTTTGTTTTTAAACACTTGATTTTTTTTGTATAGAAAAGGGCTCCCTTCTACTGTCAAGCTTGTTTCTGCATGCTAGCTGTTACTCTTTCTTCCCTACTATGTGGAAACAAATTCACTTAAGGCATATTATCGCCATCGAAACGACTGGAGTAAGAAAGTTTTATTGTAACTATTTTAAAAAATGTAATCAATAGCCCAGCAATGATGTACAGTATCATTTTTCAGTCAAGCACTGAATAAATCTATATATAGGTTATAAGTTATCTTTGTTTTGCCTTCCTGCTGTAATGAGTAATTTATTCCTATTTTTTTTTACCTGACTGGGTCGACTTGTTTCTAAAAATACCCTCTGCTCTCTAACACAATGACTGACTGTAAGGAAGTGAGTTTTTAAATGCCATAATCTCAGAAATGGATGCTCTGACAGATCTCTTGAAGTGTTAACATGCCTGCCCTGGGGAAAATCCAGAACATTCCTAAACTGGTCTAACCCCATTCCCTTCTGCATCTATGTTAGATACGTGCACCGGCCATGTTTGCAAGTGATGGAGGCCGTGCTGGTGGCTGCAGTGACGGCGGCGGTGGCTTTCATCATGATCTACTTCTCCGTCGACTGTCAGCCTCTGGCCCCGGATCACACTGAGGAATACCCGCTGCAGGTACAACCTCCCAGCCATGGGAGCAGCTGGTGACGAAAGAGAAACTAAGCCAAAAAGCTTGCCTCAAAAGTTTGGGTAGAATCATTTCCAGAATATTTCTTCATAACTCAGCACATGTGGATTGAGATCAGATGAGCTCCTGTAATAGTGAATCTTTGATTTCTCCTTTTTTTTTTTTTTTTTTTCCACCACAATTTTACTTTCATTTCTTTTAGTTTTGTTGCTAACAGCATCACAGGAATAGAGCTGGTGAAGTTGCCAAATGATAAACGGTTTTATTTCCTCTCATCTCTGCTACGGCCATTTGTATTTATAACCTGCATGTTTTTTTCCCAGCTGTTCTGTGCAGATGGAGAGTATAACTCCATGGCCACGGCCTTCTTCAACACCCCTGAGCGAAGCGTGCGTAGTCTCTTCCACAATCCACGAGGTAAAACCTGCTTGGGCCTTCAGTGCTGTACCCTCCTAATGCTGCAGCCATCAGGGCGCTTCAGTCTGGTTCCCAGTCCTTTAAACAAGCTCCCGTTGAGGCCGTTTCAAACATGCTAATAGCTAAGCTACTCGTTGTAGTCTGGCTACCTCTCAGTCTGATTACGTTTCATGTAATTAAGCTGCATCCCAGTATTACACAGTGCCTTACAAAAAATATTAATGCTGCTCAAACTTATCATTTTATGTTAAAATCAAATTAGTGTAGTTTGTTCTACTAAATTTGAAGAAACTTTTTGAAGCCTCTGAAAAGAATCTCTTGGTGCTACTTGGTGCTCATCTGACTGATTGATTTAATACAAAGTTTTCCTACATGTTCTTTTTTTTTATTCTTTTACTTTTCAGATAAAAAAAAAATCATACACTCAAGCTGAAAAGTGGCATGTGTCTACTTTCTAGAGTTTTAGTTTTTAGATACCTGGAGCTTTAACTGGGTCTCATTGAGATCAGACTTAATTTTCTATTCAGAAGCCTTCACTGCAGGCACTGGGGTCTAATTGATCAAAGATTGCATTTGATCTCAACTTAAAGTGTGGGTGGGCTCAAAAGCCCCAAAATGTATTTCAGATTTATCAAATAATGGTTTAGTACAAAAACAAATCTTGGAGACAAGATGGAAACATCTTCAGTCCTAATTTTCTCAGCAGAGCAGGATCCATCGCACAGCACTGCACACAGATGGCACAGCTGTATTTAACCGTTTACAGCAATCAATGTCTATGATTTTTGGATTAGAGCTGCAACTAACGATTGTCTCACTAATCTATTAATCTGTCGATAATTTATTTTGATTAATAATCGGATAGCGAAAGGTTCCTTAAAGATTTTTTTTTTTGCAGTATTTAACCAGGTGAAACTAAGGCAATGGTCACACAGCAGTCTGAACATCATAGATCTTTTTTTTTTTTTCCAATGCAACCCAGGCCACTTGGCTATGTGGTCCTGAATCTGATACGAATCTGATCTTTTCAAATGCGACCTGTGTCTAAACGGCCGGATCGCATTTATCCGACCTGAACGTCATTAATATTCAGCAAAGGTCACTATCATCTTGCTGAGCTGAAGCGGTATGAAAAACAAATAACAATGGCAGGCAGTGATGCAAAGAGAAATTTTTTTAGTTTGGGAAAGATCGCTGATTGCGCTCCAGCGCTATCACCTATGTATACCTGCGTAAGCCCAGAGCAAACTTGCTTGTGACGACATTTCGTTCTCTACTGCGCATGTGAGACACTTGCGTCGATGAATGCAGTTCACTCAGGAGATCGCATACAAGTCGCATATATTTGGAAATGTGAACGGCCACATAGAAAAATGGGATTTTATAAAATTCGTACTCGAGCATTAAGGCCTGCAGGGTGAAAGTAGCCAAAGACTTTTCCACTTGAGGAGTTCTGGACAGGAGCATATTGACAGACGAAAGTGTTTTGTCTTAAATGCAATATGTTTATTTATATGTTTATTATTATATATATTTTTTTTATAATTTTGGTATAATTACTGCTGTGACTTGGTTGCTGTTATAGCTAAGCACAGTTTAGAATCTCTATACTCCAGTTATTGATTAATCTATTACTAAATTAGTTGATGTTTATTTCAATAATCAATTAATCTGATTGTTTCCACCCTAATTGGAAGCTTATGGGGATGTTGCTCTGTTTTTTTTTTATAAAGTAAAACTGAACGCCTGAGAGGAATTCATCTGGCTTCACTTCTTCTCCCCGTCCGTCTCTAGTTTTCTCCTTTCCTCTTTAGTTTCTCTACACATGGGTAAAATGTAGCGTTTCCACTCCCAGATTTTTATAATCAAAGGTAAAAACCCTTACTTTGAAGTGGGGTGCAGAAGTTTCAGGCCGTAATTTGTGCGTACTCCAGCTTGATAGCTAAGACCTCAGATGTTATTGCAGTCACTAATAGGCTTTATTACATGTATTCACATGTTTTTAGTTTAGCTGCAATGTATCCGCCTCTATTGAAGAAAAGCATTCTCGCAGCATGATGCTGCCACTGCCATGTTTTGCAGTTTGTTAATGGCATTTTCAAGGTGATGGAGTGGTAGTTTAGTGCCGTACATAGCAGTGCTTCTGAACAATTCATGGCTACATGGAGATTTTTGCAAAGTGCTAATGTGACTTTTAATATGTTTATCTCTTCAATCAATACTTGTCCTGATCGTTCTGCTTGAGCTTTTGATTTCTGCAGCTCCTCCAGAGTCACCATGAGCCTCTTGGCTGCGTCTCTGATTTATCCTCTCCTTGTTTGTCGAGTCATTCTACCGTTTCCAGTCGTTCCACTCCTCTTTCATTTCAATGTGATGGATTGAACAGTGCTCTGAGACACATGATAATTGGTTAAGGGGCGAATATAAATGTGTAAAACCTGGTAAATAAAGCTTAACCCACTATTATCTGCTTCTTTCTGTTAAAAATGGGAAAGATAAACTGTTAGTTATGATTTTAATGTGACAAACAGCCTGAATGTAGATTAGCAAGCCTTCAGTTCGTCCCATTATTTTAATGTTTATTTCTATTAGGTTGGTCTGATTGGTAGATTTATCTCCCTTGGATAGGATTAGGGTTGCATTAATATAATTTAAAATCTTTAATATTTTTATTTAGTTTCTTTGAAGCATTTTTTTTTCTTATCTGTGTTAACTTAAATGATTTTGTGACTTATGTTGGATGTAAAAGATTCACCACAAGCACAGTATTTACCTTCTAAATAGTACAAAAAAACAACATGCAGGTGAAAAGAACTATATGCTAATAAAGCTTTGACAGTTCCTCTCACACTGTCTGATGACTTTTTGTTTTTTAGGAACCTACAACGCCCTGACTCTGGGTTTGTTCACGCTGACCTACTTCTTCCTGGCGTGTTGGACCTACGGCCTGTCGGTGTCTGCTGGAGTGTTTATCCCGTCGCTCCTGATAGGAGCCGCCTGGGGGAGGCTGTGTGGAATATTGCTGGCCTCTACTACCTCTACTGCCTCAGTTAGTTTTTCAGCACCTTCCCTTTGATTTTTAAAGCACCAGACTTTAAAAAATTTAAGAAACTATTGTTAAATAGAATAACTGTTGCCATTTTTGTTCAGTTATTTCTTAGAATAAATATGTAGCCAGTTTTGAAATAGAATATTTCTATTTAAGAGCTTTTCCTTACACATCTTTATCATTATCAGTTGAAAGTCTGACTCGCATGTTTGTGTCCAAACAGACGTGGGCCGACCCTGGTAAATATGCCCTGATAGGAGCTGCTGCTCAGTTAGGTGAGAGACTGGAGCTTTGCAGTGCTTTTTTTCCTTCTGTTGCTTTTATGTGTGAAATAAGTGGCTTAATGGGATGACATGCAGTAACCAGCTAATGTCCACAGGTGGCATAGTGAGAATGACCCTCAGCTTGACGGTCATCATGATGGAGGCAACGGGCAACGTCACCTACGGCCTCCCCATCATGCTGGTACTCATGACAGCCAAGATAGTAGGAGACTACTTCCAAGAAGTAAGGAGCAAATTTGACTACAGAGTAGTTTCCTAACTTCATAGTTGGGATCAGGGTGGGGGGGTGTTGTTATTAAGGTAGAGACACTAAAGCTAAAGAGTGAAACAGGGTTCCCGCGGGTCCTTAAAAA